ATGTAGTACTTCTCCTAAACCAGCTTGCCTTACTGTTGCTAGACAGCTAGATGTCTATCAACCCCTGTCAATTTAGAACCCTTTCCTCTCATGCCTGCTTTCCACTCGAAAGGATGTAAGCAGAGACTATGAAAACCACTAGTTGGTTGGAGGCTTCATCTGGAATGAGAGGAATTTCATGTAGCAACCAAACTAATCTCTGCTCTGAATTCCAAAAAATTGTTTTGATAATGTGATAAAATCTTGAGTTCTGTCACCAATACTACTAAATGGCGACCACCTGAAATACTAGTTGAAATACCTTGTATAATGAATCCTTGCTTTCCATAATTAACTCTGGGAAGAGAAAGAGATAAAGGACAAATGAATAATCTGTCTTTCCAGGCCCAGGAAGATGATTTACCGAACACCATTCCACTGGGCTAACATTGAAATATGACAACAATATTTAACTTGCTAATTTGAAGCTAAGCATTTATTTGCTGGCTACTTACTTCATATTTATAATGAACATGTCTCCCAGGTCTTATTTATTTTTTTATTTCTCAATACATTCTCCTCACAGCCAGAGCCTCTCCAGGGTAGTTATTCGATGAACAACTAGTGAAAATGTGCTTTATCAGACCATTATTATATTTCAAATTCTGATAATGATCTGCCAGAAATTTCAGGGTGGGTACAAGTAAATGATTATAAAATATAACATTTATCTTTCACTTCTCTTTACGTAAAATATACCTGTTGACCAACTTCCTCATGGCTGTCTTTACTTCCTTGTTTCGCAATGTGTAGATAATAGGATTAAGTAAAGGGAATATTACAGTATGGAACACAGACACCACTTTATCTAGCGAAAAAGAGTCAAATGGCCGAGCATAAATGTAGATGGATGGTCCAAACATTAGCACCACAATGGTGATATGGGAGTAGCAGGTGGACATGGCCCTGTTGGTACTCTCACCTGAGCCTGAGTGTTTCTTGAGCATGGCCAGAAGGAAGGCATAGGACATTAATAGAGCAATGAAGCACACCACGGAGATCAAACCACTACTAAAGATCATTACTAGCTCTTCCGGGAAGGTGTTGGCACAGGCAATCCGGACAACCTGTGTGATGTCACAGAAGTAACTGTCTAACTCATTGGGGCCACAGAAGGGGAGTCGAACAATGAGAGCCACCTGTATAATAGAATGAATGAAGCCCCCTGTCCAGGAGATAGCCACCAGGATACAGCAGAGACGTCGATTCATGATGATAGTATAGTGGAGGGGGCGGCAGATAGCAGCATAACGGTCAAAGGCCATCACTGTGAGCAGGAACATCTCTGAAGCCCCAACAAAGTGCAAGAAGAAAAGCTGTGCGATGCATCTTTCAAAGGAAATTATCTTCCTCTCCACAAAGAAGTCTACCAGCATTTTAGGGGCTGTGATGGAGGAGTACCAAATATCAAGAAAGGCCAGATTAGCCAACAGGAAATACATGGGAGAAGTCAGATGGGGGTCAAGCCTGATGGTGCAAATGATAAGGATATTCCCTGGAAGAATGAACAAATAAAAGGATAAAAATATAACAAATAGGACTAGTTGCACCTCCCGTGTTTGGGACAGACCA